GATTTCATGGAGAGAGAATGAGAGAGGATCAACCGTGCAAAGGCTTTGACAAATCCTTCATACAAAAATTCATCTCCTTTGCAGAGTTTTATCTCCAAATTGTTCACTTTACCACAAAAATTTTCTTGCAATAGTTGAAATTGATATATTAAAATAAAGCATTTTAGTAATATCAGGGAAACAGGGATATTTAAATTGGACTTCTTCCTGTTCAAATCATAAGGAGTGTGAACTTGGTATTAGCCTTATCCAAAGCCCAGAAAAACGAGCATAATTATCTTTATCATGTCTTTGGTTTAGCTGAAGTGTTTATGGCTAAAATTACCACTGAATTACACTGGAAGAGTGGGCAAGTTACTTATGAGGATTACAGGTATGTAGTGAAGCTGTGCAGGGAGAAAATTAGGAAAGCCAAAGTGCAGTTAGAACTGAGCTTGGCCACTAAGGTAAAGGAAAACAGTAAATGCTTTTATAAGCACATTAATAGCAAAAGGAAGGCTACGGAGAATCTCCATCCCTTGTTGGATGCTGGTCACCAAGGATAGGGGTAAGGCTGAGGTACTTAATGCCTATTTTGCCTCAGTCTTTAATAGTAAGACTTGTTACTCCCTGGGAACACAGCCCCCTGCGCTGGTAGATAGGGATGGGGAAGAGAATAAGCCCTTCATGATCTGTGACGAGATAGTTTTGGACCTGCTGCAAAAACTGGATGCTTACAAGTCCAAGGGTCCAGATGGATTGCACCCTGGAGTGCTGAGGGAGTTGGCGGATGTGATTGCCAAGCCACTGTCCGTCATTTTTTGGCAGTCCTGGCTAACCAGGGATGTCCTGGTGGATTGGAAACTGGCAAATGTGAGGCCCATCTTCAAAAAGGGCCGGAAAGATGATTCTGGTAGCTACAGGCCTAACCGTCTCACCTTGGTGCCCGGGAAGGTCATGGAACGAATAATCTCAGGAACTATCATGGACCAATTAAAGGTCAACCAGGGAATCAGGCCCAGTCAGCATGGGTTTATGAATGGTAGACCCTGTCTGATAAACCTGATTTCATTCTATGACAAGGTGACCTGTTTAGTGGATGAGGGTCAGGCTGTCGATGTGGTCTACCTGGAATTCAGTAAGGCCTTTCACACTGTCCCCCATAACATTCTCGTGGAGAAGCTGGCTGCCCATGGTCTGGATGGGTGTACGCTCTGCTGGGTGAAGCACTGGCTGGATGGCCGGGCCCAAAGAGTCGTGGTCAATGGAGCTGAATCTAGTTGGAGGCCAGTCACGAGCAGTGTCCCCCAAGGCTCAGTACTGGGCCGCTTCTGTTTAACATCTTCATTGATGATCTTAATGAGGGGATTGAGTGCACCCTCAGTAAGTTTGCAGACGACACAAGCTGGGAGGGAGCGTTGATCTGCCAGAGGGGAGAAGGGCACTGCAGAGGGACCTGGACAGAATGGATCGATGGGCAAAGGCATGACATGAGTTTCAACAGGGCCAAGTGCCGGGTCCTGCATTTTGGTCACAACAACCCCAGGCAACCCTACAAGTTTGGGGAGGTGTGGCTGGAAAGCTACCTGATGGAAAGGGACCTTGGTGTTCTGATGGACAGTCAGCTGAACATGAGGCAGCAGTGTGCCCTGATGGCCAAGAAGGCCAATGGCATCCTGGCTTGTATCAGGAATGGTGTGGTGAGCAGGACCAGGGAAGTCATCCTGCCCCTGTACTCGGCATTGGTGAGGGCTCACTTTGAGTAGTGTTCAGTTTTGGGCACCTCAGTACAAAAAGGATGTGGAGGTACTGGAGCAGGTCCAGAGAAGGGTAACGAGGCTGGTGAAGTGCTTGGAAAATCAGCCCTATGAGGAGAGGCTGAGGGAGCTGGGGCTGTTTAGTCTGGGGAAGAGGCAGCTGAGGGGAGACCTTATTACTCTCTTCCAGTACCTGAAAGGTGCTTACAATGAGAGTGGGGTAGGTCTCTTCTCACTGGTGACAGGTGACAAGACGAGGGGAAATGGCCTCAAGTTGCACCAAGGTAAGTTTAGGTTGGACATTAGGAAACACTTCTTTACAGAAAGGGTGGTTAAACATTGGAATAGGCTCCCCAGGGAGGTGGCTGAGTCACCGTCCCTGGATGTGATTAAGAGCCGTTTGGATGTGGTGCTTGGAGATGTGATTTAGCAGAAGGTTGTTAGAGTTAGGCTACTATGGTTAGGCTGCAGTTGGACTTGATGATCCTTGAGGTCCCTTCCAACCTGAGTAATTCTATGAATCTATGAATTCCTTGATTTTATTTACTTTATGTGAGAATTTGCTTCTTTTTGATTTGTGAAAGTTTAAATGCTCTTTATCTTACCTCTGGAGTTTATTCTGAATTTGTTTCAACACATTCCAAATCTCACTGCTTGGGAAAAAATCCACTGAACTTGCCGAATTTCACCTCATTATTATAAAACCTCATATTTTGCATCTGGTCCTGGTTAGGTGCAGTTTCATTTTAAAATAAGCAAACAAACAAAATACCCTGGGTACACCCACAGCTGATCTGAGCTTTGTGCAGAAAAGTTCATGAACTTTGTTAGGAGCTCTGAGTTTGTAACAAATGCAGCTAAGTTCTATTTGGCACGGTTTTATTTCAAATACTGTGGCTTGATTTTAGATATATTGGAATGGAAAAATCCACACACAGCCACTTCTGTAGTTATGCCAGCATAAGCACAAAGCTATTCCTTGTCACTTGGGACTTAAATCAGAAACATCCAAGCCAATAAGGGAAAACCAAGAAGTTTTACATAATTATGCAAAATCTGTCCTGTTTGTGATGTGATATATGTTTTAAAATTCTGAATACAAGTGTTTTCTGTGTTATGCTATGAACCTGATCCAGAGACAACAGCCTGTCAGATATCTTTTTAATAAGACCTAAAAAGCAAAGTTCAAGTGGGTCTCATGGATGTCTTATGAATGAATTAGGGTCTGTGAGTCTGGGTTACAGGTTACACCACAGCATAGAAACAGGATGGGCTCACAAATAAAGCTCATGCTGCGCACTGCTGCACTTCTCCTTTTTTCTCCTCTTCTTATTTTAGACTTTGCTTAGGCTCTGCCTACTCCATTTCAAAGGAGTCCTCTCGCTTTGATGTCCTGCTCTTTACCCAGATTGCCAGAAGGCTTTCAGTTGCAAATGCAGGTGTTTCCAACTGTTAGATGTAGGCATATTATTCACCAACTAAATCAAAAAAGGTATTAGTAGGACACTTAATTTACATAGGGGACAAAATAAGAATAATTGGTGAGGTAGCACAAGATACATAAAGATGGTGAGATGCATCTTGCAGTGGATGGCCAAAGTTTGCATCTATATTACTGCTTTCCATGTATTATATATTCGGAATTCAACCTTTAAAGCACTGTTTTTCCAAGAGATTACATTGCCCATCATGTTGGTATATGAAACTAAGTATGGCTCTTGAGAAGTACAGTTTTCTTTACAGATAGCATCTGGAAATCATTACTGCTTAAAAAGTTTATTTTTTGCATGTTGGTATTTTTTCCTAATTTTGTTCTAGCATACGGGAAAGAGTCCCCTGCAAAGGCCAGCTCTTTGCTGAGCTGCTGAGTTATCAGAAATGTGAGTGATCAGGTCTGCCTCACAAGGGCAATTCTGAGGCTTGTGGGACAGCAAAATGAATGCCTCAGTCATTCTCTCATCGTTTAACTCTTGCACTGTCATCCAGTTAGCTCTGTGCACCATGTATTCAAAGCAGAGGGACATCCAGTGGAGCCTGTTGAGTTGGGACCTTGCTTGGAGGTAGAAATGTGCAGTGCTTCTGCCAGATGCAGACAGCTTTCTGCTCAGCTCTGCATCCACGGGGGCAGAGTACTGCTGCTAAGAGCCAGAGCTGCTGGACAGGCAGCAAAAAAGCAAGTGGCCTGAGATGGTGAGGGAGAATCACTGTGGGGGAGGATTAAGAGGAAGACTGAGAACATAAGATGACACTATGAAAGGAGACAAGAAAGCAAATTATCTATCCTTCTGGTTCTGTTCGCACAGTTTTCCTGATCTCTTCTCTGTATCAGCACTCACTGGAGGGAAGCTATCTCCTGTTCACCCCCGTCCTCTAGGACACCCTGATGGGCCTCCATTTTTGAACACCTAGAAACCCTGTGCATTTTGTATTTGTTAATACCAACGTGGATTCAGGCTATTTCAATTACAGTAAGCGCTTCCATGATTCATACAGCTCAAAGGTTCAGAGGGAGCCTTTTGATATGTGATAGACGCACTAGCTCATCTATCAGATTTTGCACGCAGGGCTTTTTGAATGTGGATAATCTAATCAACAGTCTTGAGAGCTTTTGAGACTCTGAAAGCAGGAAACTGTTCCCTTCTGGGAGTGTTTCTCCTTCCCTCCTTTCTTTTCTACAGGAGCCCCAGTCAATGAGCACTCTTAAAAAGCACACAGCACTGAGAGATGGGCACTTCAGTCGGTAGCACTGAAGGCCGTTGTTTCACATCGGCAGGCTGTGCCTGATGGGAGCTGAGACCTGTCAAGGCCGGTGTTCAGCACCGGTCAAGAAGTAGTGAATCACCCACATTGATGCGCGAGAATTCTTTCTTAATGGCAGATCTCATTTAGACCTCTGGGAAATGTTTCATTCCTGTCTCTGACTTTCAGACAAAATAACTTTCCAAAAGCTCACGAGAGCAAATGACGAAGTACCGCTTCTGGTGCCTGCTAAGCATCCTATGGATGCCTCTTGGTTTTCTGGCCGTGGTCTCACTGAGGTTCTCCTCTTTGCCTTTCCGAGGCACCAAACTCGGGCGCTGTTTCTGTAAGGGCACCGCCGGCAGCAGAGCAAGGGGAGGAGTGCAGCCGCGAGGCGCCCGGTCCGCACACCTGGTTCCCGTCATCAGCGGCAGCGCGCAGCCGCTCGGAGACCGATTTCGGGCCGAGAGACGCCGAGCCCCGCGCCCCGCTCACGGCCGCGTGCCGCACGCCGCCGCCCCGCACATGCCCAGTGTCGCGGCGGGCGCCGGCCGTGAGTCAGTGGCGGCGCGGCTGACGGGGCAGGGGCGGGCCCGGCGCGGAGGGCGGCCCGCCTCGGCCGGGCGATGCCTCAGCGCGGCGGCAGCGGGGGGGCGGGCGGATAGCGGCAGCGGGGACGCGGCGCGGCCGCCCTGCCTTTCCCTGCCCGCCGCCGGCCTTTCCTCCGCCCCTTCCCTCGCCTCCCTCCCTCCCCCCGCCCGCTCCGGCGCCCGTCTCGGCCGGCGCTCCGGGCGGGGAGGAAGGGCCGGGAGCCGCCTCCCGCTGCCCCCGGCCGCCCCCTCCCCATGCAGCCCGGCCCGCCGCGGGGAGCCCTCCCCGGGGGGATGTTTCCGCGGCCGCCGCCGGGATAAGCGGCGCCCGTCCGCCCCCGCCTCGGACGGAGGATGCTGCCCGCGCCGCGGCGGGCTCCGACTCGGGCAGCGGCGGCCGCCAACCCCTCCTCGGCTCCGGGCAGCGTCGCCGGCCAGAGATGACTTCAAGGCACCAGGCGGACTGGATCCCCTACAGGTAGGGGCGGCCCCCGCGGCCGGGAGGGTCCCGCGTGGACGGCCGCGAGCGGGAGGGCGGGCCTGGACCCGCCTCCGAACTCGGGTCCGGTCCCGCGCCGCCAAGTTCGGGGCCGCTCCCGGGGGAGAGAGCCGTCCGGAGCGGGCGGGCAGCGCCCCGCCGCCGGCTGCGCCGCGCTCGCTCCGTGGCCGTAGGGCCGCCCGTCCCTCGGAGCGGCCGTGGCGAGCGGCGGGATCGCCATGGCAGCGCCCGGCGGGCGGCCGCCATTGGCTCCGTCGTTGCCATAAGCTACCGGAGCCGCCGCGGCCGCTGCCCGGGAGCCCCGTGCGTCAGCGGGAGCCGGCCCGGGCGGGAGGAGCGCTGTCGCCGCCCGCATCGCCCCGGCGCTCCAGTCGTTGCTGGAGCAGGGGATGCGGCTCGGTGCTGGGCCGGGGGTGCCGAGCTCGGGGCGGGGGTCTGTGCGGTAAAAGCCCGAGCTTCGGCTGGTCGGGCTGACCACGTTGCGGCTTCGTTGTTAGAGTTGGAGTCTTCTCAAACTATCGCAGAAGGAATTGGTGCGCGCCTTAAAAAGGTGTCCTGCGTAACGCTGCACGGCGTGCTTGCTTCATTCATTTCTTTGTAAAACGGAATTTTCACGTTGCCCGCGTGGGTGCGGGGACAGACAGCGATTTAGTTAGTTGTTTTAGAGATTCCGAAGTTCAAAAATAATTACGCCGTGCACTTCACGCTAAAGGCAGCTGTTCTGTGGGTCCGTCGGCCCCACGCTCAGTGGCAGTTTTTCTAGTGGAGGTGTGCGACTGCCGGTGCAATGTGACACACGGGAGCGGGGAGGAAAAAGAGAACGATGGGTGCCAAAGCGGAGGTCTGTTGGTTTAACCTGTGCTCGTGATCCTTCTAATCAACAGAGGAATGGGAAAGAAAGAAAGCTGATTGCAGCGAACCCAAGAATATTGCCGCTTGCTCCCACAGCTTTTTCAGAGCCCGTGTTTTAAAAAGATGTAAGGAATTGGCAATAAGCTTCAAAAAATGACTAGCTGGTGGTTTCTGATGCAATTTGAAGCCGATGTAATGAAGGGAGAAATACCAGAAGAACAGCTGCTCACGAGTCTTCCCATAACTGTGCCCCTGTTCTCCCACCATACTCAAGGTTTTGCAGAGGCTGGGGCCGAAAGTTCACTCAGGGGTTTTGTAGCGATGGCTTTGAAGAAGGAAATAAAACGTCTTGTTTCCTTTGCACACTGTGCAGTTGAAGAAGCCAGCAGAGGAGGTGCAGTAGATATTCAGAGAAACACTGATGTGATGATGCTCACATCTTTTCTAATGTAATGTTCTTCACTTTATGGTTGGCAACTGCTAAAAGCCTCCCAAATCGCAGGGCAAAGAAGCCTCCCTCCTGCTCTGAAACGGCCTGCTTTAAACTTCTGCTGTGATTTGCGCTCTCCCAAAGGAGTTGACTCATTTTTTGGTTTACAGGGAGCTAACTCCAGAGTTCAAAGTAGGTCTTTGCAAATCTTGTGGAATGTGCTCATTTAAAATATCTTCCAAGATCCCCGAAATGCATTCATCCGGGAAATGGGAATCTGAATGCATATCTGGCTGGCATCACATTTGAGAAAGTTTTGTTAGTAAATTAGGTCAGAATACCATTTTGTGGAAGTGAAATGTGCAGTGTGAGGGAGCAGCCAGGTGTACGCCGCTTGGAATGCTTCGTTCATGCAATCCACCTGCATGTTGAGAACTAACAGAGCAGACTGCATTTCCATCCTGAAGATGCTGAGAACATTTTAGGTGAATTAATAAAAAATTAATTAACCAATTCCTTCTGTGTCAATGCTGGCTTTTTCGTGCTGAGGTGGATGAAAGGTTCATTTTATTTATGGATCAGGGGTTGTGGTTTGGATACTTTGCCCTGTATGCCTTCTCCTTTTTTTTTTTTTTCTGTATTCTGCTTTTGAAACACTAATAGTCATAGATTGAGGGGATTTGAGTTTGCAGGATGATAGTAGTAATGTACGTGATTTCACCCGTGACCTTTTTTTATTATGCTCATTTTCTTTATAGCTTTTATGAATTCGCTTTGAAGTTTTAAGCTTGTGCTTAGAAATTGTAGCTATAAACAGTCGCTACTTATTTATTTGCAAGGTGAAGGATTACATTTGGACGAGAATTGTGTTGGAGCAGGGCTGTGCTGTAAATTCATGAATCATGGCAATTAAAGCAGCTAAGAAGGCTTCTGAAAGCGTGATGTATAAACAAGTTCTGGAACAGCGAGGTGCTTGAAGATGAAGGGTGCCCCACGCTTGTTGCTATGTGTTTATTTGCTATAATATCTATCTTAAAGCATCAGTACTGCGAGGGCAGCAGCACAGGTGAGGTGCTCACCCCCCTCTGTGAGGTGCAGTTTATGATTGCGAGTGCATCTCAATGCAGGCGAGCTCGCTCTCAGCTGCCTCCCATGGGGAATGGCATCGATAATTTATGAGAGCTGTTTTTTTTCTAAAGAAAAGGGTACAGAGAGCATGTGTCTGCTCTGCTCTGAATTAGGCTGCCTTGTCTCAAGTTTTTGTGCTGCATGAAAGTAGCCTGCTTGTATGCTGTTAAGACATTTAAGTCAGAGCTGGGGGTCTGTGCTCTCATATAGGGTACAACCGTTATACTGCACAGAGCCTCCAGTTGAGATCAAAGCCCTGTTAGGCCCAGTGTCAAGGCAAGGAGCTGTACAAGCATGTCGTCAGCAGCAATTGCTACCCTGATACTGATAGCTGAAGTCAACTGGGTGGAAAAGAGAGGAGAGGATAATAAAGTATCACTTTGGTTTTGCCAGTGAGGGAAATAAAAAGACCAGTGGAAGTTGTGGGGTATTGGCTGAAGTGGAAATGGGACAAGGCTCAAGGGAGATCAGCGACTGTTCTGGGAACAAAACAGTCATCCTATCAGCGTGCCAAAGCTGGATTTCAGTTGGAGGGTGAGGCTGAGGGGGCTTTTCCATCTCTCATAGGGCGTGCTTTGCACTGTGTGATAGACAGTGGCTCCCCAGCTGTCCTATAATATTTTGACCTCTGGCTACGTTTACGGTATCGATATCCAGACTGAGGGTAAAACTCATTTCGTAACAGGCTGATGGGCCTCTGGTAGCGACAATCATTTGCAGATTTCTGGCAGTGACAATCATTTGCAAGCCATCTGTGCCAGATTTGGATTGCAGACGGAAAATGGCTATGAAATGTTATATCTTCTCTTGCAGCTCCCCGAGTCAGACGATTTAGACTCTTATGCCTGAGGCTTTTTGGACTTCCCTTAAAGCTGCTTGCATTTAGACATGTAAGCAGCAGCTTTTCTGGAAGATGGCACTTTCTATTAGTAACTAAAAATTGCTGTTCCAGAGAGCTGGATTCTTTTCACACTTCCTCCTCATTGCTCATCCCCTCATACTGATGGCTTATTTTCCAGTTCATTTTCTTCTTTCTCTTTTTGCCATTTTTTCCCTACGCCTTGTTGTGCTCACTTCAGTTTTGTTTCCTTTTTTCCTGTTTCACCTTATTCATGATGATAGAATTCTGTTTTGCCAGCTATATGGTACCTGCAGAAGGTCTTCTCTCTAAATATCTTCCCTTGAATTTGTTGCTGTGTGGTATATGATGGTCTGTCTCACACAAACAGGTGGCCGTGGGGAGCTGAAGAATTGTTCTCTCACCTTTTGCAGCCTCTTCTATGACACAGCAGCAGGATAATGCCAGCAAGTCCAGAGGGCTCTCAGCTGAGAATATGGCATCTTTCCAGGCTCTGTTATCTTATGTGTCTCGGTAATATTATGCAGATGTACAGCAAGAGAGTCTTCAGTCTGAAGAATTGTCAATGTAGAAGACAGATGCGAGGGAAGGACGTGATGTATGTGCAAAAAGATGAGGGTCATCATTGGCATACTTACTGCTTTCATTTTTCATACAGATGTATGATCATCAGCTGGTTTTGTCTATTCTGATTTGAGAAAAGAATAAGGAAGAGAATAGTGACTTAAGTAGATAAAGCTCTCCCAAAGAAGACTATATAGAGCATGCAAAGGTCACTGCTTCTACCAGCACAAGAACTGTGCACATCTTGGATGCTGACTGACAACTCAAGTGACCAAGTCATTCTTTCATGAAGTTGAGTTTTATCTTGAGTTCTGAGTTGTTTACCAAAATCTAGTCTTGAACTGCAGATTTTAGTGGATATTTCATGGTTCCTTTTGAGATGCAGCTCTGAATATTTTAATTCATAATTAATATAACTCATTTGACATAGGTAATGAAACCACAGCATGAAGATTTTAGTGGTGATTTTAATTGTAATCACAGTTCTTACTACCTGCAGGTGAGAAATTACAAGGTGAGGAAATACCTTGATTAACTTCAAATGATGACTAAGTTGGAAATTGTGTTTGCAAGTGAAATACAGTATTTGATCCATGTTTAGGGAAAGGAATAAAACAGGTTTGTCTTTCAGATGAGCTATCAATTTGAAAGCAAAATGAATGAAGCTGAAGGCTAAGTGTTTCCACTAATGGTATCGGTGTTATGTCAAGAAGTTAAGGAAAATTGATCTTGGTTATTTCTAGAGTAATTAGTTGCTAATTCATACTAGTAGTACAGCAGCATTTTCAACTGACTGCAGTAACAAAAAATATACTGCAAGGTGTTGCAATTCTGTCTTCCACAAATCTGGGGAAAGTGTTGGATATACTGTAGAATGTAACAGATAACTTGTCTGGACGATGGTTTGAACTAACTTCTTAGGTTGGGTTGTGTAGCAAGTGAGAAACTAAGACACTCAGTGTACCTTGGAAGGCATCCCACCAATTCTGGCTGATATAAATGCCAAGACTCAAGCCAGGAGAATGAATTTCCTTTAAATAAGCTCTTCCAGACCGAGGGATAGTGTGAACTCTCACATGCCTGTCTCAAATTTTAGGTTAGGTATGTGGGGAAATAATACATCTTTTGGGGCAGTGCATCTGCGGA